AATAAAAATTTCGAAATCCTCTCAACATAATCCTTAAATTTAGGTTACTCTGTTGCATAAAAAAAATAAATTTTTGTTGTACTGTGTTATTATACTTACATCTGAAACTCATGTTGACCTGTGATATTAAAAGTGCTATAACTCCTTTGTTTATTATTTTAGTAATATAGTTTGAAGGCAACATTTTCTTGAATTTTTAAGTACTTTCGTTTGGTAAGGAAAAAAATATACTTTAGGGGGGGTAAAATTTTGTTTCTGCCCTTATCATGCGAACGCGACTTCAAAGCTTAAAAAGACATAAGAACGAAAAGTGAAGCTTCTCAAGACAAAAATAATGACATATCAATTTTAAAAATCGGCCGTCAAATAACCAAGTTACAACGAAAAAACCATTTCGGCTGTATTTCGGAGGGTTAAAAAAAAAAAATAAAAATTTTTCCAGAACCCTCTCAACATAATCTTTAAATTTAGGGGCGGACATTAGCAACTTTTTTTTTTTGTATGGGGACCGACCCAGTCTAATGTACGTATGCTTTCCACATCCACTTGAATGAATGGTTGCGAAATCTCGACACACGTATCTTTCTGTGTTTGCAAAATCTGCGGCGCGCAAAATACTCTTGGTTAGTGTCGTCGCTGTTATTAATGGGAAATCGGAAAATAAAAAATAAAAATTTTAAAACTAGTTTCCTTTCTCTGTGTTCCTATCATCAGCAGTTCCACATCCTCCGTTGTACATACATATGGGCATTTTTAAAAAAAGGTAAACCGAAAATGCAAGTAAATGAATTTAAACGGCTTTATAACTTTATATTTCGTATTCAGATGGCGAAAAGAGGTTTTGAAAACGGTAAACTGTGGAGAGAAGAATTAAAAAAATTAAATAAAAAATTAAATTTGGTATGTGTTACTAGTAAAAATATTGTATGGGCGGAAAATCTGTCGCGTCCGTTACCAGATTTTAATTCAAAATTAAATAAACAACAAATTGCTTCTGATTAAAAATGAATTGGTTGTGACGGTCCATAATTAGACTTTATTTAAAGAGTGTTTAATAAAGGAAAACCTTACACGATTGCTGAATTTTGCTTAGTTTTAACATGTACGTCTGAAATCACTTCTGTTTTTGTCGCGTCCGTTATGCCCTACTATCGATTTTCTCGACTTCAGTGTTCCAAGTGCACCTAGTTTTTTGTCAACCAAAGGACGGTATAAAAGCTACACAACAGCAAATTTTTTTTACAAGTGACTTCAGTTTTCGTATGATTTATTTAACTCTAAAGTCGTACGAATGTCGCGTCCGTAACCCAGGAAATACCCATATGTATGTACTTAAATTGTCGTTTGTATAAGGTGCTTGTGTGCTCGGTTTTTCTATTCAAGAGAAAAGTTTGATAACAGTGATACAAATTAAATATCTATTGCCTTATCCATAAAAAATTATGTAGCTTTAAAAAAGGTTAATGCATTGAAAAATGTATGAAAATGTAATTTTATTAGGCTCTTTAAACGTACTTTATTTCTGATTAATAGGGCCATTAATGTGCAAATGTTTTTTAATAAGTGTACAAAGGCTTTTAAAGTAGCGACTTGAATTAATACACCGTGCGACAGTCAATTTTACACACGAAAAAATCAATATATTCACAAAACTGGGGGTCAAGTATAGTAAAACTGCGTTTTTAGTTTTTCTCTCTGACGGATTTTTTTTTTAAGGACTTTAAAATTTTTATAATAAGATTGAATAAAAAAATTTTCAAAAGATTCGGTCCATTGTAGAATAATAATATTGGTATCAATTAAAAGTAAAAATTCTGTAGAATAGAAAAAAATTGAATTTGTGGGTGCACCAGGACGAATAAGTATTGAAAATGTCCTTTTAAAACTTTATCCTTGAACATCCTTGGAAATTTCCAATATTTATTTTTGAAAAAAATATATGTCAAGGACTAATATTTTAACTACCACATCCTCGAATTTCGCCCTTCTAACTTTATTAGTTTTAGATAAAAAAATTTTACACTTCTCCTAATAAGATATTGATAGTTACAATATACATAAATAAAGATATTGGAATCATTACTATGGAACCATATATGCGCTCAAAAAGAACAAACTGACCGTATGATATACCTAGGGTTTAAATACTTTAATCGTTTTGTATACAAGGGCGTTGCCAGCCTTTCATCTAGAAAGCATGAGTTTATATAGAGGGAAAAAATGTTTTTAATTATATTTTTTTTTGTATATATAAAAATTTTTGGGTTTAAGAAAGTAGAATTTTTGTGGCCTTTACAAGGATAACAATTTTTTAACATCGGTTAGTAATTTTTTTGTTTAAAATATTTTTCTTTATTAAAAAAGGTATTTTTTGCTTTCAAGTGTTTTTTCTTAAATTTTTATACCCGAAGTATACAATCTTTTACAACGATACCAAATTCTTAAAATCGGTTAGTAATTTCTTTGTTAATTTATTTTTTTTTATAAAAAAATTTATTTTTTTCTTTTAAGTGTTTTTTCTAAAAGCTTTATATACCAAGTATACAAATGCGCATATCGGAAGAAAGAAGATTTGATTGCGTTAACAACACGATACATTTTTTTTAAATCGGTTAGTAATGTGTTTGTTTAAAATATTGTTATATATGAAAAGGGTATTTTTTCCTTTTAAATGTTTTTTCTCAAATTTTTACATACAAAGTATACAAATATGTATATCAGAAGAGAAGAAGGGGGTCTAAGCACGTTTACAACGATACCAACTTTTTAAAATCAGTTCAAAATCGTTTGATATATAAGTTTTTTAATTTTTCGAAGATCTGGAGAAACTAATATTACCACTTATAACAGCTGTTTAAGCGTCACACTATCTGAAAATAGAACAAAGATTTAATGAGGGTGCTCACTACTGTTAGTTGAACCAGAAATATTAAGTAAAAACTGCGTTTATTGTATCCTAGGGGAAGAGATTAAGCATTTTTTCTTACACTCTCTAAAATACCTCTGTTGTAGATACGAGGTTAACGCAGAAATGGGACGATATGTAATATAAGTTTGCAAAAAAAAGTTATAAACCATTTAAATAAGAGCAAGAGGCGGTCTACGACTGTTTTTGTAGTTATTTACATATAACAATAAAACATAATTTTTTTACCAAAGATCCTATTTCGAACTTCGAAGGCTCATGTCTCGATTTTGGAGGCTAACATCGAAAAACGGAGAAATTATTTTTTTACCTATGACTCAGTCTCTTAAAAAAATGGTTTGGTCCAATACCCAGCAGAGTGCTGTGCAGTGATAATGATTCTAGTATTTTCATTTATGCATACTGTAACTATCAATATCTTAGAAAGAGAAGTTTAAAATTTTTTATCTGAAACTAATAAAGTTAGAAGGACGAAATTCGACTTTAACTTTAAAATATTTTGAATTTAACTTTTTAAACAGGTGACGGCCCTCTTCCAACAGCTCAGAAATATTCTTAGAGTTCAATCGAAAGATTTTTTAACACTCCTTCCTTTGATAGCCATATTTTCATATTTCTATAACTTGTGTATACATAAATTCGACATTTCTAGCAGGTGGCAACCCTCTTCAAAATATTTTCAAACTACTTTCTGAAACCCCTTTCGGTTGGTACTCATATGGTGATACATATTTCTCTTACTTAGTATAATTTTTCTAAACAGGTGGCCAGCCTCCTATAAGTAGTTCAGCTAAGAAACAAGGCTTTTCAAAACCATTTCGATTGATATCCAGTGTGTAACAATTGATTTTTTTTTTTTTAAATAATTTGAATAAAATTTTTTAAAGGTGGTAGCTCTTTTCTAAAAAGTAAACCCTTATTGCACATCTACAGGCCAAGGTTTTTAATTTTACGTCTCATTTTAGCAAATCGGAACGAACGGTGCGGATTTGATGAATTTAATTTTTTAACAAGTGGCAACTATTTTCAAAAAACTAAAACCAGTTTGCACATCTACAGTCCAAGCGCTTTAAAAGTGACATCTCACTTTTGAAACTCGGTCGAACGGTGCAGATCTTTTATCCTGAACAAAAAATCCCTTCGCGTATTATATATGTTACCGCCCAAACTCTATCTTAGGACCAACTAGTTTTTCTTAGGCTAAACTAGTTCTACCTAGATCCAATATACCCGTCCAACGTGGAAACAAGTCGGACGCAACAATATTTTGGACTGCTTACCTGGAGTTGGGCTGATGAGGCCGCCTACGCGGAAAGGTATTCTGCGAAAAAAAATTCTGTGGCCCCTTATCTAGTTTAGCCTAGGCAAAACTAGTTTGTCCTATGATCGGGTTTGGCCGGTAACATATACATATATGAGCGTGGTTCATAAAAACACTCTTTTTGAAAATCCATAAACGCTACATCAGAATATTGTTATTTGTGATAAAAAAGAGACACGTATTTTATTTTATTTTTTTCAAAAAAATCGCATCATTTTTTTAATTTGCTCACCCTTTTGGATCCACCATTCTGAATTTTGAAAAATTGTCTTCATATTCCTAATTAGCAACCCCAGAAATCCCCTGGTAATAAGTTTCAACCAATGACAAGGCGTAAATCGTTCAGTATCAACGTGCTAATTTTACTCGGGTCTTTTCGAGAGCATATTTTCGGGAACTAGGCCCATTCTAACTGTCCAAGACAGATGTGTAATAAAGGGAATGTTCCCCAATAATACCAGACTAATTATATGTAAAAACCATATTTTTAGCTGCATTTTAACATGTCACAAAAATAAAAAAATTGAGAGCGTTTTTATAAAAACCCGACCAGCGCGACCTCTAAGAAAACTTTTTTTTTTAAATAAAAAAAAACACGTTTCTCAGTGTTTATCACAAATAACAATAATTTGAGGTAGCGTTTATGAATTTCCAAAAAAAAATTTTTAGGTCCACTTTTTATGAAAACTCATATTTTGATATAGGAGGCTAGAGAAATTGAATACGCATCGTTTCGAAAATTATAAAGGTTCTTGTTTTATTTTTTCTTCTTCATAAGCAATAAAAGGAAAATTTGCTAAGTCCAAAAGAAGCACCACAAATCCGATAAGGCCAAAATAATACGACATCTTTTAATAAATATCGAATCCTTCTGATTATTATGGAGTTTTGCTTTGCTTTAAACGCACAAAATGTTTGATTCAAAGTCTTGCGAAATAGTTAAAGAAAATGGCTATAGGAAGATTATTTCCCCTCCTGTAAAATTTTTAAAATGGGCCTTAGCAACTTTTCTTTCTAAGCTAGCGATATGCTGTAGTGTAGTAAAGAGGTGCTTAAGTTTTGTATAAAACCATGCGCTTAACCTTTTTTCTTAAAACTCCCACCCGAGCGAACATTTTCACATTTTCTTCGAAACTTATTTTCGCAGTTTGGTAAACTCCAATTTGATTTTAGATCCCGGGTTTCTTCGACAAATTTGCTTAGAATTACACGTAAAATCCCCCGACTGCCAAAAAATTTTCAAACATTTTCCCACTGCGCACCTTTGTTATTATATTAAGTGTTTATCCCTCTCTTCTCCTACATACTCATCTTTAACATTTTCCTTGTATGAATCTTAATCTACATTAAATCTTATACCAAAACTGCCGCTTAGCTCGTTTATTTAATTCAGTGTCAATATTAAAGCATACATTTAGGAGGCATTTCCTCCTCATTACTGTCAATATAGAATTCGACATCACCTAATGGACATTTTTTCGACATATAGCTAAGTCTGCTACTAAATCGTCGGTCTGATAACTTTTGTATTTGTATTTAAAACAAAGTAGGTTTCATATGAAGTCAAATAATTTTATTGCAAGAAATATCATTTTTTATAAAAGTGAATTGAAATTTTTGAGTTCGAAAATTAGTTCTTGGAAAATTAAAACATTTGCATATTTTAAATCAGTTAACATTCTGTCAATCATTGTGTCTCATTAATCTTTGCATTCGGCGGCAGGTCCTCCAATTTTAAGCTTCTCGCAACAGTTTTGCCTGGTTATAAACCAGTCTAAAATTAGAGGAGAAGACAGTAATAAATATAGAATTTTCAAATTAGCTTAAGTATTTAATTGAGTCTACTTACAAGTACGCGGTCTTGATTGGCAGTTGAGATTGCGTGAAGCACACTTAGAAGCTTGGTCTCCTACCACGGCCTAGTTGGCCTCCAAGTTGGACGCGTAGGCCTCCAAGTAGGTCTCCAAGTAGGTCTCCAAGTTGGGCGATAACCACCACCACCCTCTGGATCTGGCTGGGCTTGAGTCATTGCTATAGTGATTAATAGCACAACTCCAAAAACTAGAATTCAACAAGTTAGAAGGAACATCATATATCGCGACCTAAGAACTTACGGAACACGAAGGAATGCCTGAACAACATGTTTTTATAACTTGATGATTTCGAGTTTGAAAACGGGAAACTGCGCCGACGTACTTTTATAGGAGAATTGAAATCAGCAAACAAGTGTTCTTCAGATAACACTTGCAAGTTTTTTAACAATTATATAAAATTTGAACAATACATAACGGNGGCTGCCTGCGGTGCGTTTTTTATAGCTCAATTGACAACGAAACTACAAAAGATATTTTAAAAATTATTTACAGCGATTCATATAACACGGTCAACGAAAAAAAAACGAGAAAACTGACAGAAGGGAAAAAAGTTGTTTCACTTAAATTGATGATGAAACCTTAATATAAATAATTCCACACAGTACCTTACAATATTGTACAAGGCAGACAGTGAAGAAGGTTACGCCTAAATCAAAATTATAAGTTTATAGTTGGTGTTAATTTCACAATGGGAGAGTATCTTAGGTCCACACAAATCCACCTAGCCAATATAAAAAGTTATAGACGAACAAATTTTGGTTTCCCAATAAGCTTAATATTACAATCCAAATGATTAAAAGGTTTTTTCTCGAATTCAGGTTTTTCGACTTAGGCGGTTATTGCTTATGACCACCGATTTGTAGGCGTTCATCAAGAAAGATTGTCCTTATTCTGTCGCCGTAAAGCAAGGACCGCAATGGTTATAGCGGTAGATTTGACGGTGGTAATTCTACTTTGATTTCTAGTGTCTCCGAAAGACTTCACTTGAAGATTTTTAGATGCAACTCGACTCCAGCGCCACCTTGCGGCTTTGTTTTTGCACTAGTATTGCCCATACCGTTACAAATATATATCTCGATTATGAGGCACATCCGACCATAAATACGATTTTTTAGTAATAACTCGACTCCAGCGCCACCTTGCGGCTTTGTTTTTGCACTAGTATTGCCCATACCGTTACAAATATATATCTCGATTATGAGGCACATCCGACCATAAATACGATTTTTTAGTAATAACTCGACTCCAGCGCCACCTAGCGTTTTAAGTTGTGACCCTAACTATACAGGGACCCACTAAGAAGTATAGCAAAATTTCATTAAAATCAAAATAAAAATATATATGTATTTAAAGATATGTAGATAAAGGTTTCAGTATGTTTGGAAGGCGCCACGCCCCCTTTTCCAATAGCCCCCACGTTTTTCCATGAGTATGGGACTGATTTCAAAATCTACTTCCCAAGTTCCAGGACTCTACCACAAATAATTCCAGAGATATGAAAGCTGTATGAAAAATTGGATTTGTATGGTTGATGAAACGCTCCCTTTACATATCGAATTTATTATCAGCCTATAACCAAAAGGTGTCCAAAAAGATCGGACTTTTCTGATTGGTATCGAGTGAAAATCTCTCAAGCCACCCTAAACAGGATGGTCAAGATTTTTTCAAACAAATCACTTTATTCGGTTTACGACCATAAAAAAAATATAATTTGAGGAATTTTGCAAAATTCGAGTTTTTATAAGAGTTATTGTTGTTAACTTTTTTTTGACGAATTCAGTAATTATTTATTATCCACTGATTCATAGCATGTAACTTGCTGATTTTTTGCATGACAATAGTTATATAAAAAATTTTTATAAACAAATGGAAATATTTATTACTTCCCGATCAGATTTTTCAATCCTTTACACTGAATCTCAATTCTTATTCCATAATACATTATTTAAAAAAATAAAAAACACGGAAACTTGTATGCAGTCAAAAGTTATAAATTTTTTTCGCTTGCCTTACATCATGCGTTGCTCGCATTGCGCGTGCCGCAGGATCGTGGTGGGCGCGTGTTATGTAAATCTAAATAATTATACAGGGTGGCGACGAATAATTGTCGCCCAGTTTTTTTTTTAAATAAAAGTGTCCTTTATAGATTTTGCGAAAAAAGAATTTTGTGGTTAATTTTGTACTACATATTTCATTTTCATTTTATTAATTAGTTTTAAAATTTCAATCTTTATTTGCATTCGCCAGCAATGTTAACTTTGGAAGGCGGCAAGCAAGTAGGTATTTTTCAGGTGTATTTTTTTTTTTAACTTTGTATAAAAAAATACAAAAAAAATATATAATGTATAGGGTTGGTCTAGTGAATGGCCGTCCTAGTCATCAATTCCAAGTTTATTATATTGCTGAGTATGAGGCCTTATGTTGGACAAGAGGGGAGTATAAATAAATTTGTATTCTATGAATCTACTTCTTTTTCTTCTTTTCATTCGTACAAAAGTTTTGGAGTAGTTATAAATTTATTTTGTAAACTCAACCGAAAAGCAGGTCGTTTCACTGTACCACCGATTCCGTCACATGCACCTTTACCATGTGAAGTGGCAAAAAAATTCCATTCGGCGTTGACTCCGAAATCTTCTTTGTGCCTTGATAAATTCATCAAATTAAATTTGTTCTTATATTTGCCACATTTTTTTTCCAAATGCGCAATTAATTTAGAATTGAAAAAAAGTGTACGCAGTGCCAAAGTTGTAGATATGTGGACCGGCCTCTATTCTTTGTTTACATATACACACATACAACTTTATTTAAAAAATATTGTATTAAATTATCTATGCTTTGTTTCCGTGTTTTTTGTTGTTGTAAATAATTTATTATAGAATTAGGAATGATATTCAATGTAATCGATTAAAAAATCTGATCAATAAGTAATAAATACTTCCATTTGTTTATAAAATTTTTTTATAAAAATTAAAAATTTTGAACGAAATAATGAGTGTTTGAATAATTGAAGCAATAAGGCTAAATCATGTCTAAATAACTAATATCATGCAAAAAATCAGCAAGCTACATGCTATGAATCAGTGGATAATAAATAACTACTGAATTCGTAAAACAAAGTTAACAACAATAACTCTTGTAAAAACTCGAATTTTGCAATATTGCTCAAATTAAATTTTTTTTGTATGGTTGTAAACCGAATAAAGTGGTTGGGAGTAAATTGCCAAATTCAACGGAAATGGTGCAACGGAAATTGCAGATAAAGAAAAAGGTAAAAATAAAAAGCATTTTTAAGCAAAAAACAAAACCGACTTCAACTCTAATATAAAAATTTAAGATTATCGTTAATTTCTTCACGATCCAATTATCGGTACGGTGTCACCCTTGAGGTACCACCTTTCCGATGTAAAAAGAATTATCGAAATCGGTGCACGTGGTCCAAAGTTATGCGGTAATATACATAAAAAAAAAAAATACCGACGAACTGATAACCTTCTCCTCTTCGTGAAGTCGCTTAACAATAAAAACAAAAATGCGTAAAGATATAGGCAAATACATATGAAGATCAAGGCAATGCTTATTGGATCCAGGTAAATTTAAACACTTTACTAATATAAGGGCAAAGGTGAAGGGGAATATGTAGATGAAGAAAATGATAAACATAAAAGGATACCGATAAAAGTAAAGATGAAGATAGAGGAAGAAAGATTAAAAAAAGAAAGGTAATTATAGAGAAAAGGATATGGATAGATACACAGAGACTTAATCCGGGAACTATTTCGGGATTTTAGAGATTTTCGGGATTCTCGGGACTTATCGATATAATATCCGATTTTCGTTATCGATTATGTAATACAAATTTTTTACCGATTTTGTTTTCGATATTTTATCGGTATTGTTATCGATATTTTTACCGATTTTGCTACCAATATTATTATTGATTTTGCTATCGCTATTTTTATCAAATTTGTTATCGATTGTTTGTCAGTTTTGTTAACGATATTTTTATCAATTTTGTTATCGATTTTTCTACCAATATTACTATCGATTTTGCTATCGATATTTTTATTGAATTTGTTATCGATTGTTTGTCGGCTTTGATATCGACATTTTGACGGATGTTACTATCGATTTTGTTTTCGATAGATTATAAAGATAAAAATGAAGATAAGGAGAACAGAATAACATAAATGTAAATAGAACGAACAGTGGTAGAGGTAGGGATCTAGATAGCAAAAATATAACCTTAAGCAAAAGCAGATGTAAGTATGTACTACATACATACATATGTACAGCTCAGCAGCTAAACTTAGACGCATGTCAGTAAATAAATATTTTTTTTTTTGCTGTGGAAGAAAGCTTTTTACTGTCAGTGTCAACAGGGTTGCCACTTTGGTAAATTATTACCAAAATTTGGGTTGGTAAAAAGGTAAATTTTTTCTCATTTTGGTATGATTTTTGTAGAAGTATTTTGTTGGAAAAATAATTCAAACATTTCGTTACCGCTTTATTTTATCTAGTTATCTTTATATTACAAATTTCTTTCCAAAAGTCTATCTACTTCATTGCGTTCGTTTTCGAACGCGTTAATTTACACTTTTTATATTCGAATGCACATATAGCTATCGAAAAAAGCTTTGTTTGTTGTCGTTCTCAACTCAAAATTAATCCTTAATCCTTAATTAATTGAATCCTTAGAAACTTTTGATTGCCTAAATTTTTTATCAATGGAAATTGTTAAATGAAACAAAAGATGGCAAAAGACCGGCGGCAAAAAAATATAAAAAAAAAAATCAACGGTCATTTTTTGCTGCACATTGTTGTTCATACCTCCATGGGCTCCATACCTTAAATTGTTCTAAAAATTCAGAGTAAAAAGGTCGAAATTTGGGCGAATTTTTTTTCATTCAATTAAATTTAATTTTAAATTAAAAAAAAGCCAAAAAATGTTTATTTGAAAAACATTGTGACTAATAAAAAAAAGCCAGCTAGCGGTTTTTGAGTCACTGTATTTGTCTATAATAACTCTAGTTGAAGTTTTTTCAAATGATGAAATTTCGTTGTTACCTTTAGCTTCATCACTCTCGCTTTTGGTTGAAGGAAATCGAGAAGATACCATTAATATGTTCTCAAAT